TCCCGTCACAACAAATGCGTGAATATCTAAGCAACGTAATACGTAATGTGAGCTGCATTATCTACAATCAACAGTTGTAATTCTGAATGGCTCTTCGGTTGGCTCGACGGAATTAAACGTAAACTCTTAATATAAATGATCTCTGAGTCTGAATTTCTAAGCCAGTAAGTTACCAGGGTGACGTACCTTTGTTTTGTGTGTCTTTGTCTTAAGAAGAAAGAAAAAATAAGTGATTTATGCAGCCGTGTTTCCTCTTTATAAGGCCGCTGTCCTCGGGGCGTGACGCAATCAATTGGATTTTTAAGTAGCCTGACGCGCCGCTATGCATTTATTGATTAGCACTGTTGTGAAAGTGCAAAGAAAGAAAGAAAGAAAAAAAGATATACAATAATTATATAATTTATATGCAATTAATACTTTCAGTTGTGCGTTTTTTGTTATAAAACCTGCCTTAAATGAATACAACGCTTTTTTTAAAAAAAAGTTTTATAATAAAATGATTTAAAACGATATTAATTAAGTTTTGTACAATCTGTCTTCTGTTTGGGTTAAGAAAAGCCTTTAGAAAATATTTTTAAAATTATGTTTATATCAATCCACTTTTGGATTTTTTTTTATCTCCACTTGATGGTTCTTTGTTTTTAATGTATTGCTGTGATTTAATGAGTGAGCTTTGCATCAGGTTTTGATATGCTGTAGGTTTGTTTGATTGTCTTTCTCAAACTGAAGGAAGATTTAAAATGAAGTGGAGTTCAGTCTTTAGATTTTAGAGAAGGCCCGAAAAGATCATGACCAGTGCAAACAATGCAGGACATAAACATAACATACAGAATTCCTGTTTGCCAGGTCATGCACGACCTGAACACGTCACCATTCCATTTCTGGACCACATATAGATATAGTGATTTGCACTAAAGCCTTTAGTCATGGATCTAAGTGTGTCTGTTAGAAACTGTGTCAGTGGCTTAGAGACGTGACACGTGGTTCAGAAGGAGCAGAGTTGAGTACTGACGTACGACTTCGAGAACTGACTGCACGTCGAACAGGCGAACACTCACTTATTGATCAGTGGTTAGCAAAGTCAGATAAACAACTGCTGTGGAGGGACGTGTGGTGCTGATCCACAGTCCACCGGTGTACAGCAAAGCAGCACTGGGAATGATAAGGTCGCATCGATGCTAATGGAAAAACTGTGAAGGATTTAGCAACATCTAGTGGTCAAGTTAAATGCTGCACGTAAACAGTGCAATGCCTGGGTTCGCTTGTAGGGTCCTGAGACATTTACTGCAGTTTTGGAGAAATACATACTGCATATATCCGTATCATTAAGTTTTGATGAAATCAGCATATCAGATTTTGGCATCCTAGGTTTTGCCACCTTTTTTCCACAACACCTTGATTCCCTGATAATAATCAGTACTACGCAACAAAAATATTAGTGGCGTAGGAAATCAGCGATGGAATTAAAAATAGCCAAATTTAACAACCAGCAGATTAGTCTACTTCTATCATGGCATATATTTTATGCTTAATTTTGCTCAAACAAGTGCATTATATGAGAAAATTCAACCTAAATCTTACTTTTGTTTTGAGATCAGGGGAAACTTTCCCCTGATTTCCAGGAAACTGAGTCAAAAAAAAAAAGTGTATTAAAATTTACTCTAGTTTATTCAACTTTTGAAGAAAAACAAAAATAGTGAATCTGTAGACAACTGTATTCTCTATTTTATATATGAACTTTCTTTTAAAGGGACATCAAACAACGATAATCCCCTTTATATTACCATGCAAATAAAACCAGGAACTGCGAACGGCTTAGCTCAGCGTTATCACATTATGGCCTGTAATGAAACCAGGAAGTCTGTCTGCAGTCACACTTCCAAGTGTCTGTGTTCACACCTGTCAGTCTGCAAAAGAGTCCTCAATCCCTTTTGTATCTCACAATGGAAGCACCATCGCTATGACTATGAACGGCCTCCAATCACCTTAGCTTTCACTTTTTACATCTGAAAGCCTTAAACCTTTTGTCATGAGAGGACGGGCAGGTCATGAACGATCTGACGCCTGCGTGTGTTCAGACTCCTTTTGAGCCGAGATTGCAGGAGGTGCGGGGCATGTATGTGCATGCTCGCATGATCTCGAGTCGCAATAACAACCTCCACGACTGTTTTTGTATTTGTTCAAAGGCCCCTGTGGTGGGACTGGTGTGTGTGGGGTTACTGGCAGACACCTGCTTACTAGAAACTGTTTGGTAAGACTAATGACGGGCATATGAGGACAAAGCAGAAACGCAGAATCAACAGGATCCCTGTGGTTTTCCTGTTTTAATCTGATTACTACAGCATCAGACACTTTTAGATGAACACGTCTCAACAGAAGTGAGTGTCTTCACATGCAAGCCTTTTAACATGAAAATGGGTAAACATGCCTTTGTATCACCTGAACCATGGAGCCCTAACCTCTGCTGCGTGGACACAGTGCCTGAACCATGGAGCCCTAACCTCTGCTCCGTGGACACAGTGAAGAATTTTATTTTTTTTTTTTTTTTTACTAATTTACCCTGTTCGGGAGCAGGCATACACATACACAAAGAGACCTTGGGTCTAAGCACCACCAGTCAAAACCTGGGGACGCCTCAATTTAACTGTCACCGCTACAGAGTGACCCTAAAAATGTTTAAATGCAAAAAAGCTTTGCAGCACGTCAACACATTTAAATTCATCAGATGTTAGGAAATGTCTGTTCTGTTGAACCTTGTGGTTTGATGATCCATTTGAGACTTTTTACCCAGTGACCATGAGCCGCTTTCTGAACAACAACACACACGTTGTGCAACACTCCTGCTAACTTTCATTTATCAAAGTACGATTCCAAAACTGTTGTGTTTTTTTTTTTTTTGGAACAACTGGAGTAAAGTAACAAACGTTGTACAGACTTCGGGACAAAATACAAACTATGCCTATGGTATTATTTTTTAATATGTCATATGATATTATTAGGGCAACCTTTTGATGCACTGTAGTTAGCCTACAGGGTTTACGTGGGACACTGTCTGTGCAGCATGCACTGAATTTGGCTCCCCTGCGATCGGAACCAGCTGGGAAAACAATAAAAAACTGCTCTCGATGAAAACATGACCGAGTCGGGACACGTTGAGCAACTCATCTTAAGAAATCTGTCCGTGTTACTCTGTGCAGTAATATTTCATTTACCTCCAAATACAACCCGTTCAACCAGCTAGCTAACCATAACCGCTAAAGGTAGTTCCAAGTCTTTGACCCTCAGAGGAATCCAGGATTCACCCTGCTCAGGTCTTTCCCCCAAAACAACAGATGTGAGGTGTTTCTACAGAGGACAGTTGATAGATAAGGCACAAATAGCGTCCTCTACTGGCATCTGTCCTGTACTACTGGTATGTCGACACATTCACCTGTGTTCAGAAAGAGCACCGTATCTAAATAGATACTTTATTGACCCCGGATAGAAATTAAGAAAAAAAATGTATACTTAATCTAGTATTACTAGTCTAGAAAAATACTAGATTATTATATTAATCTAGCATTATGATCAAATGTTTGGCAACTTGTAGTCATTCTAGGATAACACAAGACAAATGTGAAGTCCAAATACACTGTGTGTATTTGTGTTATATTTTGTGGCTGAAATAATCTCACTTTAAGTATCTTCATATGCACCGTAATTCAGTCCTTCATATGTCCCACAATGGGGACATTTACAGTGTGAGGCAACCAACACAAGTGGCAGCTGTAGGGATATGTGGTTTAGCTTAGCACGCTAACCGCTACACGGCGGAACCGCATAACAAATCCACAATGTTACTGCAGCCGGAGAATGTTATTTATATTTTGTTATGTGGTTGGGCAGTGGTGGCTTAGTGGTTGAGAAAGCGGCCTTGGGTCTAAAAGGTTTCAGGTTCGAGTCCACCAGCTGCCAAGTTACCACTGAGGTGAGCTCTGAGCAAGGCACTGTCCCAACACTGCGGGCAGCTTAAAGCTGCCCACTAAAAGCAGAGGCCCAATTTCGTTGTATCCCCGTGTTACAATGCAATAAAATATATAACTATAATAATAGTTTTCTTGATGACTTTCTTGGTGAATTTTGGGGAACTACAGAGCTAATATAGACATGGACAGAAATTCATATTTCTGCCAGACCTATTTATATTCCTAAGTAAGAGGAATTGTATCATCAGGTAAAACGGTGTCACTACATATAGGCTTAGTGCAAACAATCTTTACGATGATTTAAAAACAGGTACACAGTGTTCCCGGAATCTCTGCTGGGATCAATGGAAAGGAATCTGCAGGAACAGATCTGAACATGTCTGTAATGGAAGGGTGGAACAAAGTGAGTAGAGAGATTTTATTTTTCTTTTTTATATATGAGGGGCTGGTTCTGATATCAGCTGTGTCGCAATGGGGCGTGCGTGCTACCTGAAACTGCTGAAGGAGTGGATGTGATTTTCGTACGGTTACGAGTTGTTTTGGTATTGCTTGTTTTGAGTGTTTTTATTGGTATATTGGTAGCGGGTCACATGATTATAGGCGGGATGCAGTACCTGTGTTCACCTGTTGCTTTCTTGTGTTTGTGAGAGAGGAAGAGAGCTGGGGTGGATGTACTTTCAGTTGTTTTTCATTGAGAATATTTTTGATTTAGTTTGTGCACTTTATTATGAGTTAACTGTTTTTGTTTGGATAATGAATGGTTTTATCTTCTGGAATTCCAGTGAGTTTTTTTTTTTTTTTTGCATGTCTGGTATGGGCCCATTCTTGGTCTACAACTGCATTTAAATGAAGTTTGGCAGTAGAATTAGCGGTATAGGAGCAGCAATTGAGGGTTTACATGTGATTTTTGAATTCAATTGAATTCAATTCCATTTGATAAAACTAGCGGTATAGGAGCAGCAATTGAGGGTGCACATGTGGTTTTTGAATTCAATTTTTGAATTTCATTTGATAAAATATGACCAGGGAAACCGATTTCCTTTTCTTCAGTTCTTTATTGTCTTGCACAGTGTTTACTAAAAGCAGCATGGTGTGTTCCAGGTTTTTTCGAGACAATTCTCTTCGACACTCAGGACAGACAGCAGGACACTTTAAACTGATCAAAATCGACAGTTCACTATTCTAGGAACCACAGACAGTGTTTTCACGAAGAGAACATTTCAGTGCTTCTGCGTTGACAGGAATGGAGGCACAGCTGTGGTGCGGTGTGTCTAAGTGACCAAGTGTAGCTCAGCACATTTATTTACCAACAATGGGAGTAAAAAAAAATGGATTACAAGGTCAGTGTTTCAAGAAACGGTTATGGAGAAAAGCATTGTGGTGCTCGTGGCGACCTTGGACAGAGGACATGATCAGTAACTCCTTTGACCCTTTGAACAGTCTTTCTTTAGAGCGAGGCGGTCTCCGTGGCTTTGTCGATGATGGTCTCAAACTGCTCACGGATCTGTGTGGCCATGGGGGCGAACAGCTCCTTCAGCTCGTCGATCTTGCCTTCCAAAGAGACGCGCAGCTCTTCAGCGGTGGCCTCCAGCTGGGTCTTGAAGACATCAGTCTGGGTCATCAGCTCCTTGCCCAGAACCTCAACCTGGGTCTGAAGGGAGGTAGAGATATCGACCATCTTCTTGTTGGCGCTGTCACTGGCCTGATTGACGTAGGGCTCAACGTGCTGCCTGGCTGCATCCAGGTTCTGGGAGGTTCGGGACTGGAGTTCTTCAGCATAGGCCGCCACAGTGCTGGTGGTGAAAAAGGTGAACGAGATAGGGAGACGTTTAGATTCGAAATGAACACGGACCAAGTGATGCGACCCGTAAGGCCGTGCTGCACTTACTTGCGAATCTGCTCGGTGTCCTTGTCCAAGCGCTTCTTCAGTTTGGTGGCGTAGGTGCCAACGCGATCACGGACATCGTCGGTGTTCAGCTCCACCATGGTCGTCAGCTCCCCCAGGTAGCTGGTGGTGCGGTCCTTAGCGTCCAGCATGTCCTTCTGCAGTTTGTTGGCCAGAAGCTGCATGTCTTGAGCCAGTTGAGTGGAAGATGTCTGTTCACTCAGTTTGGTCTGGAGGTTTTCACTGTAGGCCGTCAGCTCTGCCATTGAATCAGAGATGAGGGTGCTGGAAAAAGGAAAGGACGAAAACAAGGTTTGGAACACCAATAAGACGCAGACAAAAAAAAAAAAAAGCGGTATTGTTTCCGTTAAGTCAAAGGCCGACAATTTCAAAGTCGACTTACTCTAGCTCCCTGCTCAGCTGAGAGGCTTTCAGGTTCTGAAGGACACCATCAGCTTGGACGTTCAGATCAGAGATGTACTGCCAGAAACGGTTCACAGCTGCCTCCCACTGAGTCGGGGTGGCAACTTGCTGCCGCACAGCACGGCCATTGCAGCCTGTTAAAGAAAGAAACCGAGACTTCAGTTGCTGCGTCCGAGGCTGTTCTAACCGTCTGTGGTGAATAAATACTCAAGCATTTACCTGTGATGACGGCCAGAGCGAGGATGATAGCTACGGTCTTCATGTTGGTAGTTGGACACCACTGCGAGAGAAGAACAGCACAATGAACGTCGAGTGATCACAGATGTATGAATCTGGCGAGGCCTGGAGCGAGGGATGAGGTACGAACACTCACCTGAGATGTTGAGTTGCCCCAGTGCTTCTCCAATGGATGACTGAGGGCTTTTATAGGGTCCAAGAAGAAAGGGAGGAGGCTGCTTGCAACAGAAAGGGGGTGTGTGCGTGTGATGTGATAGGTTGTTTGCAAAGGAGCTCCGTCTCCTACGGCGCGTGTTGTGCCAACAGCCGTTCGAAGTTCTCGACAGTTTTCCATCGTGTAAAAAGGTCAACCGAGCAGGAAAAGGAGTCACAAGTGATGTATTGTGTCAAAGTCTCATGATGACTCCTTCTCTGTTTGTTTTTGTACTTTTTTTTTCCGCTTTTCACACAGTTGCGCAACAACGGAGAACACTTTTGAATGCAATGAATGTAACCGTGGGTTAACTTAAAGAGATGGAAATGTCGAATGGTTTATCAGGAAAAGTTGATTACATTTAGATAAGGGGACAATGGGGACAAACATTTAGAGTTCGTTTTTTTTTTTTCAAATGAATCTCATTTTACTTCATTACTATTTAGTGTCTCAGAAAAAAATGACATATTGTGAAGCATCAAATGTAACATGTGGTGATATTTTCAGCTACCGTTTACTTCTTTCTTCTTTTATTTTACCCTTAGTTTGAGAACACCAGAGTCAAATCCATTGTGTCCCCCATACCTGGCCAATAAAGCTGATTCTGATTCCGAGTCTGAACAAATGCCTCTGTCAGTCTCCACACCAGTCGTTACCACCATCACCTTAAAGGCCCTCCTTGACACCAGGCTGTGAACTAGACGATCACATATGCATCAGCCGTGACACTGACGCCTATTAACAGCCCGTCTGCTCACACCCCCCCCACCCCCCAACGACAGTCAC